CTTAGTTCGCGCCACCATCCCCGACCTTCTTACTCAAGGTGAGTTTTTAGAACCTCCATAAAAGATTATTTTTATTTCTATTTAGTTTAAGTATCTCAAAATTAGAGTACTAATATACTTAGTTTTATTGATTGTTAGTTTGATTGATTGTTAGTTAGTAAGTGAATGATTTAGGGTTTTTGATTGTTAGTTTGAATTAGGGATTGTTTGATTGTTAGTTTGTGTTTGTTGCTTGTGAATTGAAATTTTAATGTTAGGGTTAGCTAGTTTGAATTAGGGTATCTTAGGATTTGTTTGAAATTCGGTATTTCTTTTTTTTTTTTTTTTTTGAGTGTAACACTTAATAAAATCTATAATAAGAGTTCAATCGGAAACATAAATTAAGTTTATGATTAAAGGCAAAAAAAAAATAAGTGAGGAATAAATGACAATTTTGTAGGTATATAATATAGTTAGTAGGTAGGGAACTTTGGATCCACGTTGTGAGTCCATGACTCTAAGCCCCCAATTATATCCTTTGCTGAAGTGAAACCCAATTTGTGAAGCAATTCAACAGCAACTTGTGAATCATTGCCTCTTCTGCATATTACAAACAGAGAAGCATTTGAACCATTCTCTTTATTTGCCTCTTTTTCCAAAGCAGCAGATATTTCAGGCAATCTACCTTCCAACGTCGATAGAGGTATGTTCATAGAGTTGGGAAGTGAAACAATCTTATAGTGATGACTTGGTCGAACATCCACTAATACATGTGCTTCTCCTTTCGTCACTTTCTCATTGTACTCTTTGCTGCTGATTCGATCATCCGCTGAAAGAAAGTTCAACTTCAATGGAACCGTGGATAGTGGAGTTTGAGTAAACTTTTCATAATCAAACTCCGAAAATGTCTGTCTTGTCAGTACTGCATCATCTCCACAAGCTTCGCACTGCAATGACCTTCCACGCAGTTTGACCTAAATTAATTTGTGAGAGAGATGATGATTTGAGATGTTGACAATGCCAAAAGAAAAATAAGATAGGTAGAGCAACATGGGAAAATAAATTGATATATGTGCCAGAGATTGTGGATGTCCTAATCAAAGTACAAGGCATGTATAGAATAGATATATGATACAGTGATCCTTAAGTGTAAAAACACATGTATTGGAAGTATTTGTGGGCTAGCTACTTCGAAAAATCTTTTTATCTTTTTTAATTAACGATTCCAGATATTTTTTGCCCTGTAATTTACTGTTTTTCAGATCCTACTTACTATCTATTTAAAAGTAAAAAAAAAAAGACTGCAATATATCCTTTGCTCAGAAAGAATAAAGAACAAAGTGACTGGAAGTACGAGGAATTAGAATATCGAACACACATTACGGAACCGGCCTGATAGGGCATCCAAAAGAAGCATTCTTCCGGAGAGTGGTTCTCCAACCAAGCTAGCAACCTTTATGGCCTCTAAGGCTTGAAGACATCCAATAACACCTGGAACTGAAGTGAAGGGAAAAATGAATACTGAGAGAAGGATCTAAAGTAATATCATGCTGGCAACACCATATGTTTCACAAATGAACCCTACAAATAATACACAGAAAATAGTTGCATTTCCAAAAAATTCCAGGTTTGACATGGCATCAATTCTTTCCTCTCCAAGTCTCTACCATTGTTATAAACAAGATAAGTAGATTAACAAATACACAAACTATAGTGAGAACTTTGTTTCGGAAAACTAAGGAAATTTCACACATAAGAGATATAATATGAGATAATCTAAGGAATCCAGACACTTCTTGAAAAAGGACAGGAGATTAGATGGTTATTTTGAGAGAAGAACAACGTACCAACTCCAAGTACTCCACTATCAGCACATCTCTGACAAGCATTTGTGGGTGGAGGAGTTGGAAATAGGCATCGATAGCATGGACCTCCATTGTAATTGTAAACTGTCAGCTATACAAACCATTCGTAGTATAGAGTTAGTTACCAATCAATTTGAAGTTTTAGGGAAACACAAAAGCTCTGGGAATGATGAATGCTGTCAGGAAATGGTACCTGCCCTTCTAGTCCTAGAGCAGCTCCAGATACAAGAGGCTGTTAATACAAGTAAGCCAGTTCTCAGAAAATGGATCAACATCCAAATGAAACTCATCATCCAATTTCATACTAGCACTATGAGATCAGTGTCGGTATGTCCAGGCAATAATATTCACTACCACAGTTACATGATCATACCAGAACATTAGCATGGCAATTTAAAAGTGAGGGTAATAGCTATATGAAAAAGCCTCCTGTTAGCTTAAACATGAAAGATCAAAGGAAACGTTATTGCATAAGAAGGCAATTGTATAGTTTATATCATTCCCGTATCCAGCTTTCAGTAAATATCACAGTACCAGCAGAATTTGTATAAAAAGATAACATCACAAGAAACAGCTAACCTTCCCAAGCACAACACAGCAATCATTGATCATGTAGCGGCTTGGAGCATTGTCTGTTGCATCAACTACCACATCATATCTGAGAGAGATCATTAAGCAAGGAAATGTCAAAATCACCGCTCTACGGAAGCAAAAGAGGAAACTGAACCAATAAAAAAACATCAAAAGAGATACATATAGGAAATAAATCATGCAGCCATATATAAATAGGTGTTACTAAACCATACTTGCTCACAATTTCCAAAGCATTGGACGTGCGGAATGCTTCTCTGTGCTCCACAATCTGAGTGGAAGATTTAGTTGTTGGAATTAATTCAAAACTAATGTAGTTAAAGTTAAAAAGTTGTTAAGTTGTTTGAATAAGTTAAAATAAATAATGTCGTTTAGTTGGTGAATTTAGTTGTTGGAATTAAAATTATCATTATTTTTTGTGTAGATGGATCCTGATCGTAGTTGGAATATCGTAGTACTCTACCTCTTGAGAGTCAGGCAGACCATTTACACAAGAAGAAAACGAGAATCTTTGGAAATAGAGTGCTGGTGAACCGATTAGAGGTTCAATCTATGGCTATCCAGAAAAGGCGAATCAGAAGAAGAAGTCTTGGTATTGTGGTTCATCATCCTCAAGCTTTGATGGCGGGGATAAAGAGATAATATCTGCAATGGAGAGTAAGATAGTTTATCTCAATGCCGAGCTTGCTGCTGTAGCCGAAAGAGAGAAGAAGAGAGAAGAAAAAGAGAAGAAGAGAGAGGAGGAGATTGCGGCAGCAAAGGAGGTAGAGAACAAGAGGTATGCAGCGCTTTAGGCCCAACTAACTTTTCTTTTTGAATCAGGAAATATTCTTCCTCTATGTCCGGCCAGTAGTGATGAGAATGATAAGTCTGATAAGGAAAGTGAGGGTGATGAGAATGGTACGTCTGACGAAGGAAAGTGAGAGTGATTAGGAGTAGTTGTATCTATTTGACATTTTAGACTTCTATATTTTTGGAATTGTTTAATTTGATCGTATTTTAGTTTATTTTGAAGTTGGATGAAGTTTATTTTGAAATAGTTTAATATATATGTTGAAAATATTGTGTTGTTTTGGTTGGATGAAGTTTATTTGGCTTTGGGTTGTTTTGGTATAAATATGCAGGTGGGCAACTAAAAATTGCAGCAATTTGCTGCCTGTTTTGTAGCAGAAAACCGACCTGCGGAGGTCAGACCATTTACACAAGAAGAAAACGAGAATCTTTGGAAATAGAGTGCTGGTGAACCGATTAGAGGTTCAATCTATGGCTATCCAGAAAAGGCGAATCAGAAGAAGAAGTCTTGGTATTGTGGTTCATCATCCTCAAGCTTTGATGGCGGGGATAAAGAGATAATATCTGCAATGGAGAGTAAGATAGTTTATCTCAATGCCGAGCTTGCTGCTGTAGCCGAAAGAGAGAAGAAGAGAGAAGAAAAAGAGAAGAAGAGAGAGGAGGAGATTGCGGCAGCAAAGGAGGTAGAGAACAAGAGGTATGCAGCGCTTTAGGCCCAACTAACTTTTCTTTTTGAATCAGGAAATATTCTTCCTCTATGTCCGGCCAGTAGTGATGAGAATGATAAGTCTGATAAGGAAAGTGAGGGTGATGAGAATGGTACGTCTGACAAGGAAAGTGAGAGTGATTAGGAGTAGTTGTATCTATTTGACATTTTAGACTTCTATATTTTTGGAATTGTTTAATTTGATCGTATTTTAGTTTATTTTGAAGTTGGATGAAGTTTATTTTGAAATAGTTTAATATATATGTTGAAAATATTGTGTTGTTTTGGTTGGATGAAGTTTATTTGGCTTTGGGTTGTTTTGGTATAAATATGCAGGTGGGCAACTAAAAATTGCAGCAATTTGCTGCCTGTTTTGTAGCAGAAAACCGACCTGCGGAGGTCAGAATTTCAACATTACAAAATTAAAAATACCGACCTCCGAAGGTCGGAATTTCTAACATTACAAAATAAAATACCGACCTCTAGAGGTCGGAATTTCAACATTACAAAAATAAAAATATCGACCTCCGGAGTTCGGAATTTTAAAAGTACAGAAATAAAAATACCGACCTCCGGAGGTCAGAATATCAACATTACAAAAATAAAATACCGACCTCCGGAGGTCGGAATTTCAACATTACAAAAATAAAAATACTGACCTCCGGAGGTCGGATTTTAAAAATACAAAAATAAAAGTACTGACCTCCGGATGTCGGTATTCCAATTCTGACCTCAGGAAGTCAGAAATAATAATATATGAATTTTCCGACACAAAATGAAAACTGACCTCGAGAGGTCAGTAAATACCGACCTCCAGAGGTCGGTATTGAATAGCGACCAAGCTTTTTCCGACCTAAGTTGGGATGTCGGTTTTAGGTCTGTATTTCAAGGAATACCGACCTCCGGAGGTCAGTATTTGTAGGTCGGTATTCACTGTTTTTTTAGTAGTGTCCTTTTGTTCTTTCCAAGGTTTTTAGACCCTTCACTAGACTACTTAAGTCTAATTTTACATTCCACAATCTTAGGTCCTATTTTATCCTTTTAGGAATAGGAACTTGGACTTTGGCTAGACACCCCCTACACTTTGAAATATTTCAAGTTGAATTACCTTCCTTTACATTTCTCATATGGAATAGATTGTGTCCTGAACAAACACAAATTTTTATTGCTTTCTTTCTGAAAAGACAAATCTTTTTTGTTGTTCCCTTTAGGTGTAAGGATAGCTTCTCCACACAAGTTTTGTGGTAAACCTGAACTTATAAGTAATGTGGCCATCATTTCCTTCAAAGTTCAATTTTTTTTTCATTTTTTCAATTGCAATAGATTGAGGTGAACAGCGAATTTCCAAACATATTTATGCAATATTGACTTAACACTTCTATTGTTTCATCCTTACCATTCAACAATAGACATAATCGTATCTAATGCAATTGTCAATAAAAGTTATGAGATATTTTTTCTCACCACAAAATGGTGTTGACTTCCTTTATATATTTTTAATATTTTCATAATTTGTTTGGTAGATTATATAATTGAAAACTGCTACAGTAATTTTTATTTTCAAATTTTATATTAATTTTAAAATTTGAAATTATTCCGTAAAATCTCCACCGATTGAAATTATTCCTTTATATTCTCCATTGACTAACATGGTGCATACATAATTATTTATATATGTGTACATACATAATCATGCATATTATATACACCCACTCCACTCCGCATTCTACAATATATCAATAAATTGAGAATCTTCATAATAAAGATTACTAATTTATAACCTATAATTTTATGGAAAGAAAAATATACAAATTTCAACAAAGATTAACGTGAAAAAGATAAAAAGAAATATCAATTAAATAACAATTGTTGTTCATTACTGGAATGTATACTTATTTATATAATAAAGGCAATATGTAATATTGCAACAAAAACATACATTACAACAATATGTAAATTTGTAATAAAAACATACGTTAAAAAAATTGAGAAGAAAGTATAATTATAATAAGCAATGTTTTAAAAGGCGGGGGCATATGAGGCGAGACATTTTATGTAGTATGGGGCGAGACGTAAGTCTCAAGACACGGGGCGTAAGTCTTATGGATCTACGGGGCGTAGTCTCATGTATATTCAATTTTATAATCCTATTACTAAGAAAGTAAGCTTAAGTAAAACTTTCAATTATTTACAAATAAATTGTAAAAAATAACCTATAAGATATAGAAAAAATATTACGATTTTTATTTGAGAAAGCTATTAATAAACAATAATGAAAGAAAAAAAGTACTACAATTACTATTTGAGAAAAATAATTATACCAATACTAAAAAATATGATTTAAAGCAAAAAAGGTTAAAAAAAAAAATAAAAAAACTCCCAAGTGTACTTCTTTACGCCTGAAGCTTACGTTTTTACGCTTGGAGTTTACTCCCCAAATTATAGGACTTTCTCCCTGTGGATCTATGTCTTCAATTTGCGCTTCGGAGCATTTTTAGTACACCTTACCCTGAGACTCGCCCAAAATATGTTTTTGAAAACACAAATAATAAGTAACAGTAGTTGTAGAATTCTTGGATTGACATAAATGAACATCAACCCACTTTTGTACCTATCAGTATTTTGTTAGTTTTTTATTTTATTAATATGTTTATTTTTTGAGAAAATCTACAAAAAAGTAGTTTATAACTATCAATTTTTTAACCATAAAGCTTTGAAACTGTCACGACCCAAAGTATACTCTAGGTGTAACATGGCGTACGAGACCCCGAGAGATTCACACAAGCCACTTTGCATACATCATATAAGATAATAGAATTGAATAAAATAGACATTCATATAAAAGAGTTAAACAACAGTAGCGGAAGTGTAAACATAAGTCTCAAAGGCATCTATTACATCAAAGGAGTGATTGGGACGTAACTCATACATCACATACAAAAGGCGAAATAAAAAGACATGAAAGCAATAAAATATTCTCGTTCCTCGATACATGAGGACTCACCAATCTTCAAAGTTCAAATGAACCAACTAGCCACGAGTGTGCAGAATAAGAGCGCCGCACCCTACATTAGTGAAATAATGTAGGCACAAGTATGTATTAGTACCTGAAATGTAGAAAGTATGATACCTATGCATAGGAGTCATGAAATCTTGCTAAAAGGACTTCACATGACATGCAATGACCAAGCCAAATCATAAAATAATATGTTAGAAGACATAAGTCGTATCCATGGTCAATGCAAGCTAAACATCTTTAAAACACATTTAAGATACTTTTCGTAAGTAACCTTAGTTCATTATTGTGGGAAATGTTTACCTTTAACCGACATAGACCATGTGAGCTATAATATGGAGCCAGGTGTCTATCCTACACCGAAAAGAGATGTCCTTAATTTTTAAGATAAGAACCATAAACTTGAGCTAAAATGGATCCATTAGCTAATGTCTATCTAAGACAAACCTACTGTGGCACATAGTTATGGAACATGAGTAATTGTCGCTTGTCCACTCGGTGCTAAACATAAATCCCATGGAATAGTCATTAATCTTCACTTATCTTTTTAACCATGAAAGGGCACAATTAAGTAGCCAATCCAAACAAGAGTTCATAAGAATAACTCCTTAATCTTGATTCAACTCAGGTGAGAAAACCTTTCGACTTTATGAAGCCTTTATGGAGAAAACTCTTTCACATTCATGTTTTGAGTAGTATGTGAGAAGTCCTTTCACAAAAAACAACATTGATGCTTCACCCTCAAAGCAACCTTAAATAATTTATTTCAATTTCATAAAGAAAC